CAGGGATTGTTTCTAATGATGGAGAATCTACAAATATCGAACTCTAATCGGGGATCTCAAGTTCTAATATCAGATTTGGCTCTCTCAAGTCCTAAATCCACTATCCAATAATTTAACCTATCGATCTCTCAACCTAATAGATTAAAATATCAAATGCATTAACGATCACTATCACAGTTCCTAAACCGATTAACATATCTCTCAATAGATTTAACCAATTCATTTAATGAATTCGTTTCGAACCTAATTCCAACTCTCGTTGTCAATCAGAATCTAAAATCAATCAATCAACTGGCCAAGAAGATCAAAAGCAATAAACTCAATTCAGTTAAACCGCCGAGTATCGATAACGTAGTCTCGGAAAATAAAAACCAAACAAATCCCTACAAGGTTAAATCCCTAGCTACAGTGAAACGACTACTCGCAACCCATAACAACAAACGAGTTCAAATCAATAAGAATAAAAATAGAAACAGATAAAGAAGACTCGTAGCGATCTCTCGACGACGATTCTTCAATCTCTGCTCCCGGGAAACTCCGTCTTGATTCTCTCTCGAGTTTTTTGGCTTCTACTGTGATCTCTCGATGATTTCTGAAGCCCAAGACGTCCTCTATTTATTTCTTTGGCGGCTAGGCTTCTTCTCATTCTGAAAACGGAAGTTCGGATGCAAAAATAGGAAGTTTTCTCGAAATGTAACACGGCCGTGTTGAGGTAGAACACGGCCCGTGTCAATAGTCTGATCAAAACTTATGCGCTTCTGCACGGGTTGGACACGGGCGAGTTGCGTCTCTACACGGCCGTGTTTGACTCGACACGGTCCGTGTCAATTGTCTGTAAGAATATCTTCGTTTCCTTGCCTTTGCACGGCCGTGTTTAAACTCGACACGGCCGTGTTCCAATGCAACTCGAGCTGGAAATGCCTTAGTCGTTCTGTTCCGGTCCAATATGCTCCGAAGTCCTTGATTATGTTCCTCTGACGTCCATAATGCATCCATTACCTGTTCAATCACCAGAGAAAGCAAAAGAAGCAAAACTCAGTGCTAAAATGATCCTAAATATCTAACAATGCACAAAACTGATGCGAAAGTGCTACACAATGGGCTTTGAAATAGATGAGAAAATCATGTTATCATTCCGCAATCTATATTTTCCACTCCTTTTGCTCTCTTTTATGCATGAATACCTGTTTTAATACCAAAGAAAGCAATCAAGCAATATCGAGACCAAATGTGTTCTAGAATACCTATAAATGTGCAAAACCGAGTAAAATGCACTAGACATCCTATACCAAAATATCACCAAAATACATGTTATCAGTATGAACGTGTTTTTGATGTTAAGTTAATTTTGGTTTGAATTTTGAATTAAGTTTGTGTCAGGATTTTTTTAACGTAGAGTTAGCTGATTCATATTATTTGAATATTTTCACAAAGTTGTTGGAGCAACCGTCACTAAAAAAAAATAGAGCATTTCGAACGACCAGATCCATTAGAGAAAAAATATGACAATCCAAACCCTAAACCCTGAAACTAAAATCCTAAACCCTATTTTTTATCAGGTCACTCATCCAAATCAAGTACACTGCTTCACCCGAGTTATTTTTCTACTGAAATTATAAAATAAGCAAATCATATCATAAGGTTCATTCACATCGTTGATTGGTATATTAATATCGTATGATATGATTGTCGATATGGAGGATTCACGCACAGATAAGCATGTGGTTATACATATATACATACATGCGGGATATAACATGATTTCGGCTCTTTAAGTACTTATAAAGTAATGTCTAAAAGATTTTATATATAAACCAAAACAAGAAACGTAAAATGTTCGTCTTATAATTAAAAAATAATATTTCGTCCGTCTTGTTTTGTTTATTTTTCCCAAAATATTTAGTCCAAGAAGGGGAAATTTAAATTTGTACTATGCTGTTAAAGTCAATTTATAAAAAACAACATTATTTTAGTAATTAAAATTGGAAACAATATACTTTTAAAATGAGAAATGTTGAAAAATTAAACCATTTACACGCTAAAAATTGTAAGCTTAATAAATCGTTTATTTTGTTGATAACTTTTGTAACTTATCCAAAAAAGAATAGCATTCTGGATTTTCACTGCTTATAATTCTCACATAAATGGAATGGACGTATGTCTTTACATCAAGAAAAATAACGTACGTACCGTTACTTCTATGCAATATGTTCTTTTGTTGTACGACTTTGCTGCTGCATGGCAGACAACAATAAAATAACTATTCTTTATCATGTAGTTAGTGTACTATATATGCAAATCGTGGGCACTTCGGTTCGGGAATTTAGTTCCGATCCGATTCGAATCGAATGGAATAACATTCGGTTCTAATTTGGTATATTTTTTTTATAAAACCGAATAAACCGTTTCCAAACTGAACCACACAAATACCGAATCGAATCTGACAAATATCGAACCAATATATATCCGAGTAAATATTAGGGTTTGGTACTTATTTAATATTCATATAACGCTACGTACCATTTCGAACTGAATCGACACTAAAACCGAACCATTTAACATTCGGCTCTAATTTGGTATAATTTTTATAAAATTGAAAATATCATTTCCGAACCAAATTGCTTGAATACCAAACCAAAAACGGAAACGTCCATAGTTAATAAGCCTGACGTATTTGCTCCGCTTATAACTGTGTCTTGAATTGTTGTTCTCTTGTTTTGACGGAGTTATGTCTGTAGTTTTATATTTTTAGTGACATTTATAACTAATCTGCTTCTAATTTAGGGGGTTAATGAATTTGCAAATCGATTTTGCTTTCTTTCTTTGTTTGTTTTTGTTTTTGCTGATTGTCATGCGTTCTTTACTGTGCACAACGCACGCACGCATGCATGCATGAAGTCAGTTAATGATTCCAAGGATAGCACTCGCCGTGCTTATGGAGCCTGCATGGGCCGTCCTCCTTGATGGACCATTCGCACGTGCTGCATATCTCCTCGTCCCTCGAGGCAACGTATATGTCGAACCATTTGAACTGGTCCCTCCATCGAAACCCGCAGAAGAAACGAGTCGTCCTCCAGAAATTAGGTCTGAAACTGAAGACGTACTCCTGTGTGTACGGCACCACGTGAGCTCCCAGATCGTCCTCGTCCGATTTGCAGTGGACCGTCAGAGTCGCGCCTTTGTCGATGAAGTTGGAGATGGACACGTGCGTGTCTGAAAGGGGACCGCCGCCGCCACGACCTTCGCAATAACTAACAACGATGAAGAAGACAATGGCCACCGCCAGCGTTCTTGTCAGATTTCCCATTGTTGACGAAAATTATGTCTTTTGCTTTTCTCAGACCTCGAAGCCCTTATTTATACTTTCTAGCATTTTGGTTTCAGTTTGGTTTGTCTTCGGCAGGGTTATTTTTTTTATATTAAATTCGGTTCTATTTAAATTAGTTTTAAAATCATTTTTTATTGATAAAAATACAGTATTGTTTTTAGTTTTTTTTATATTAAACCCGAGTTCACTTTTTCGTTTTTTATAAAAATTATTTCTTTTTATTTTTATGTTCGATTCCATTAGGATACCGATTAAATTAGTATTATTGGAGTTGAATAGGTGGGTTTACCGTTTTTTTTTTTGGGTTGACGGAGAAAAAGGAGACTTAAATGAAAAACATTTAACCCTATTCATTGACCGCTAATTAATATCATTTAAGTTAAAGGAAAACCGTAATTAAATAAAGTTATTTATAACGGTTTTAAACACCAATTACAATATACACACGTTTAGAATCATGTATGCCAAGGATCATATATGATATTTGTTTCAAAACATTTGTTGGATATATATATCAGTTTCAAATATTGTTATTGTTATTGTTATATATAATATTTAGATATGTTATAGCAACGTAAAAGGAATTATATCTGAATCAATCGACAATTATAAAAATTTTAATATCAGAACACAAACCAAACTCAACTAATAATAAATGGCGAGTGTACCATAATTTCAAAAACCATGGCGAAGTTTTATTTGGGGAAAAGTATCAGAATTATTTGATTTCATCCGAAATTCGAAAAAGTATATTTTAAATAAAATTGTCCGAAATCAACCAAATTTATTATCTGAAATATATTTTTTTAATAATGAAAAAATATTATATGTTCAACTTGAAAACCGCTTTTACAAACACTCTTTTCGTTTTACCAATTCACATAGTTACGTAATTTACTGAACTACAAGTTACAACGGTGCCATTAAAAAAATTTGTGGTTACATTTTATTTCAAATTAAAATATTCTATAGAACTTATAGATTTCCACCTTATCCATTCAAAGTCAGACAAAAAAAAAATTAACTCCATTAATTGAAAAGGATAATCAGGGTTTTTGTCTTCTTGCTCTTTATATTTATAATCCAACATTCTAAAAGCAGATGGAGCACAAAAGTTTGACTATAAGCAAACAAGGGAAAAATATTCATTATATTCCTGTATGCAATTTTCGTTTCGCATACGCCTTATATTATTTAATCTGTACATCGAATTTCGTTTTGTTTCAAATTTTATTCCAATTTAGTTAGATTTTTTTTTGAACAACAATTATTGAAACATTGTATTCTTTTTTTTTTATATATATTTTCCATGTCTTATACAATTGATAAATTTGATTTAAAAAAATGATATACAATTTATAATTAATCATATTATTATTTAATACAATTGTTATTTTATTCTACTTATTTACATTCAATTTTATATAACTAAACCAAAATACCCACCTAACAAAAACAAAAAACCTATAACATCTACAAAGATGTAAAAAAGGCTAAATCGATACAATAAAATATTGGGTATTGGGACCGTTATTAAATGAGGTTTTTGATAAATAAATAATTGTTTTGGAAAAATGTTAAAGAAATAAACCCCTTTGTTAAATAAAAATAAACAGTGAAAAGACCAAAGTGGGTCAGAGAAGACAATACGTTTCGATTCAGGCGAGTCCATGTGCTCACATGTCTCCTCCTCTTCCTCCTCCCTGCTTTTTTTTTCTCCACCTTTTCTTTTTTGTGCTTTGATTAGCTGTGGAAAAAAAAAAACTTTCAACTCCTCAGGTCAACAAGATCAAGAAGGGTATGAACATAGAGAAGAAGAAGATCCAAAGCGAATAGGGAAGAAAAATGAAGGAAGGAAGTGATGGGTTTGTTCGAGCAGATCAGATCGATCTGAAGAGCTTAGACGAGCAGCTTGAGAGACATTTGACGAGGGCTTTGACTCTGGAGAAGAACAGGAAGAAAGATGAAGACGACGGCGTCACCGTCGCCGGAGCCGCCGCATCCTCCGGTGGATTAGCTCTCAACGGCGGCGGAGGACAGCTGAGGGATCAAGAAGGGTATGAACATAGAGAAGAAGAAGATCCAAAGCGAATAGGGAAGAAAAATGAAGGAAGGAAGTGATGGGTTTGTTCGAGCAGATCAGATCGATCTGAAGAGCTTAGACGAGCAGCTTGAGAGACATTTGACGAGGGCTTTGACTCTGGAGAAGAACAGGAAGAAAGATGAAGACGACGGCGTCACCGTCGCCGGAGCCGCCGCATCCTCCGGTGGATTAGCTCTCAACGGCGGCGGAGTACAGCTGAGGAGGCAGAGACACGAGTGGGAAATCGACCCTTCAAAGCTCATCATCAAAGGGGTCATCGCACGTGGCACATTTGGGACCGTCCATCGCGGAATCTACGACGGCCATGACGTCGCCGGTCAGTTAACGACCCTTTTTTATTTGTGTTCTTGCAATTGTTTTTTGTAGTAACAGTGGAGTTTTTCTAATCGGCACCTCATTTTTGATTGAACTGTTGTTCTGTGAGATTCTTTGAAAATCCCATGTTTCCAGAGGAACAAAAACAGCATTAGTATTTCTTCCATTTTCATAATTACTTGTATGTCGGGCTTTGATTTTTGCTCGACAGCAAGACCAAAGGAATATCCGGACAAACTCTAAGACTGTGTCTGTACTATTCTTCTTGTAATTCAGGGAAGTTTTCAAGTTGTCTTCATTTCAGAAGACCCGATTTTTGCTTTCTTTTTCGTGTATTTCCTGGTTTTTCTCTCTTGTGAAATCTGCCCGGTTCGTTAAGTTTCCAAAGATTAAAACTTGTCAAGTCAGGAGCCTTGTCAAGCAATTCCATAATTGAACCTTATTGCGTTTCGCCTTAATTCCGTGTTCTGGTTTCCGTTAAGATGCCAAGATTTCACAGATTTTGACTGCCCTTTTCTATCTTTAGTTTTGTGGTGAGTCTGGTGACAATGTGAGCATATATGGTGTGTGTTAACTCCGTGAAGCCAACAGGGGTCGTGACTGGTTTTTAGTCGGTTAAAGGACCTACTTGGATAGTTCTGCTCCGAACTTTCATGTGATTCCAGCTGTTGTTGTCTGCTCTATCAATTTAACCACATGAAACTGCTGTCTTCATGAGGCTATGTAGCAAAGTGATATTCATTGGGGCTTTTTTTTTTTTTTTTTTCTTGTTTACGTGCAGTGAAGTTGCTTGATTGGGGTGAAGAAGGTCACAGGACAGATGCTGAGATCTCGTCTCTGAGGGCAGCTTTTGCACAGGAAGTTGCAGTGTGGCATAAACTCCATCACCCTAATGTTACTAAGGTCCTTTTATATTTACTTCTACGTTAACTCGTTCCATTCATTTTGATGGAATTTTCATATTCAAAGTTCAAACTGAAATTTGCAATACCCTTAAGCATTGATCATGGGCAGGTCACACACGAGCTTATTCCATTTTTGTGCTTTGTAGAGATCTCTTTGTTTCAGACAGGCCTTTTGTCATGTTCAATGCAGTGTTACACTGTCTTGTCTCCCCCAATGTTTAGCAATGTGATAGGTTGCTACTGATATCAGGCGAAAGTCCCAGTCGCCTCTTCTTTTTTTTTTAATGGTGGAAATATATTTTCCATATCTGACAAGTGTTACTTGTTTGCTCCTGTACAAGAACGTGTATCAGATACCGAGCCGTTGATGTAAATCGTATTCCTCATATACCATTGTGCAGTTCATAGGGGCTACAATGGGTGCGACAGGCCTACAGCTACAAACCGAGAGTGGTCCAATAGCAATGCCAAACAACATTTGTTGTGTTGTGGTGGAATATCTTCAGGGCGGTGCGTTAAAATCATATCTCATAAAGAACCGGAGAAGAAAATTGGCGTTTACAGTCGTCATTCAGCTCGCTCTTGATCTCGCTAGAGGGTACTTACTTTTTATCGTTCCTCTGACTTGAAAAATCAGGAAAAGGCCGTTGCTTAATTGTGCACGCTGCAGGTTGAGTTACCTTCATTCACAGAAGATTGTTCACCGAGATGTAAAGACAGAGAACATGTTGTTGGACAAGACACGCACTGTCAAAATAGCCGATTTCGGAGTTGCAAGAGTTGAGGCGTCTAATCCCAATGACATGACAGGAGAAACTGGGACACTTGGCTATATGGCTCCCGAGGTACCGTTTCATTTTCTTCCCTCATATTTCATTTCAAAGATTTTAGTTTCCGTACCGCAAGATCATGAGTGAAGCTATATTATGCTAATGGAAACGCCACCATGTATAGACTTGAAAACATTTACCTGATGTGGAGTGGCTGCGGTGGTAGTTGATCTTCTGCAATTGTATAATGCTTGGATTAACCTTCTTTCCTCTCTGTTTTTTCGGATTTCTAAGAAAACTTTCTGAATTCATGAGCCTTTCCTGACATGAACTCGCAAACATGATTTTGTTATAATCGGAGCATCTTAAACTATCTGCTGCGTATAAACGAAATGACTTTGATACAGGTTCTCAACGGAAACCCGTATAATAGAAAATGCGACGTGTACAGTTTTGGCATATGCTTATGGGAGATATATTGTTGTGACATGCCATACCCTGATCTCACTTTCGCCGAGGTGACTTCAGCTGTTGTCCGTCAGGTATATATATGTATATATCCTTGGCTCTGTTTCTACTGCTTCCTCTCGCCGTTCTCATATTTTATGTTGTCACTAAAGCAACGCGAAGAATACATGTTTCCGTTTCTCGCACGTTATCCACGATGATGTTCGAGTAGCATAGAGTTCTGGTGAAGCTCAGTTGTGGCCCTGTCCCTGTTTCATCTGACTGTAAATACCTTTCTTTCTTGCACAACTATGACCTTTCTTTCCCACCTTTGAATGTTCTGTAGCCGAACCCGTCAATGGTATTTAGTATTTACTCACCAGTTTCCGTCAATAAGATGACATGTTTGCTGTGAGAAATGCAGAACCTGAGACCGGAGATACCGAGATGTTGCCCGAGCTCGCTCGCTGCAGTCATGAAGCGATGCTGGGACGCGAATCCAGACAAGAGGCCGGAGATGGACGAGGCTGTCTCGATGCTCGAGGGCATCGACACAACAAAGGGAGGCGGGATGATCCCTCTTGATCAGCAGCAGGGTTGCTTATGCTTCCGCAGGAAACGCGGTCCTTAAACGAAACCAACAATCCGTCATTACTCAAAGACAGACCCCGAAACTCTAAAAGTCTCGTTATTGTTGTTTGGTATCCTCATGAAGTCATGTAATGTATAAGCCAATGGTGGTTCAAATGGAGGGGGGGAAGGGGAAACGATGATGTAAAGCTTTGTTGGACTTTTCATTATTCTTTTAACTTTCCCTTTTCTTTTATTTTTTTATTGTAGAAAAGCAATTAAGCATGGGCCCACGTACGGCCCAAGACAAAAAAATCACTAGCTCGGGGCCCACATCCTTTAAAAAAAAAATCTGCCGTACCATAATATCTGTTCAATTTCGGTGGTTAGATATTTTTTTTATGTCGTGGGTTTTAATTTGAAGTCATTTTATTTTTCTTTGATAAATTACGGTAGTTCATTTTATTTTTTTTAATTTTAAAAGGTTTATTATATCTATTTACTTGTCAATTCCAAGTCTGTTCGGGATTAATCTTTTAGTAAAAAAAAATAAGTTTTAAAATTTTTGCCTGTTATCTTTATAACATTTTCCTTAAATTTGATTTTTTAAGCAATCATTCCATTAAATTTTAATTGGAATCGGATAAGGTTTACCATTATATGTTTGGATCTGGATACGAACCGAAATGGCCACTCGGGTCGAAACCGTCCACTTAACTCCTCGCTAACTTGCACGTGCCGGTATCCGCCCATTATATATAAACGGAGCAGCAGCAAGAGAAAACCAGCGGCCGATAGATGAGAAACGAGGATCGGGGCACGACCCGACCCCCCCTCCTCCTCCCCCGTCGGCGTCGCCTGGTGGCATAGGATCCGACACGAGGACCGGTGGTGGACCCGAGCGATTCTGAAGCTCCGAGAGTGGTCGGAGATCGTCGCCGGACCTCGGTGGAAGACCTTCATCCGCCGATTCAACCGGAGCAACCACCTCCATGGCGGCGGGGATCGAGATCGGCACGGAAACGGGCAGTTTCAGTACGATGCGTTGAGTTACGCTCTGAATTTTGACGAAGGTCCAGTGGTGGAGGATGGGGGTGTAGCCGACGAGGATCGAGCTTACGGCGGATTCAGGAGCTTCTCGACGAGGTATGCGGCGGTTCCGCCGTCGAATAAGAAGACGATCGCCGGCGGCGGAGGGCAAATGGAGGTTGGGAGATTGGTGGCGTGACGAGAAGTGCGCGTATCAGTGGCCAGCTAGCTAGATTCGCCTTTTTTTTTAAAAAGTTTTTAATTATTATTATTATTATTATTATTATGCTGTACAAATCATAATGACGGTGCGTGATATTATTGTTTAGACTATATTCTCTTATAATTGCTGCATAGAAATCTTTGGAAATATTTTATATTCTTTATTATTCGTCTTCTCGTTCTCTTTCTAATCTAGCAAAAACCATAAATTCTCAGCTCTAAACCAATCCTAAATTACAGTTTAGGACATAGGATTAATAAGAAATTTATAATTTGAAATAATAGATATACATAGCATTAATATTTTTCGTTATTATTATATTTTTCTCTCCGAAATAGCTTTCAATAAAATGAAAAAAATAAAGCAAACTCAATTTTTTTTTATGTTTTATTTCTATCAATTGACTTTGATGGTGATTTATCACCAATTCATAAATAAATTATATATATATATATAAGACAAAATTCATTTTCTGAATATATCTTATGTATTCTATTTTCTTTTATTTAATTTTGTCTCTTCGGGACATCGTTGCAAGGAGGTGTAAGATTGGTACATGTGTAAAGCCATGGGCGAGAGAATATAAGGAATATAATTTGCAAGAAATAAGTTATTTTAATTTTTGGAGGTGCCAACTGCCAAGTCTCATTTTCTGATTCAAGTTCCTATCCAAGTTGTCCGAATCCCACACGACACCGAGACGGATAAAAAAAATAGTACATTCGAAATGTATTCCTCCAAGTTTTGTTACGTAACAAAAAATATAAAAACCCCACATTGTACAATTATATCTTTAATATATATATATATATATAATATCATCAGTTTTAACTTTTCAAAAATGATTTTTATGTTTTCATAAAATGGTGATAGTGTTACATAAAAAAATGTTACATTTATAATGATTATGATGTTTACTAAATGAAAAGAATAATTTTTGAAATAAAAATGTATGGCATTGTGAAATATATTTAAAATGGCTAAAATATTTTGTGGAAAAAAGAATGAATAAAGTAAATAAAACATCGATTATATTTTTTTTATTAGAAAACCAAAAACTATAAGATAAAAATGAAAACTGCAAATTTTTTAAAAACAGATGTTATCATTTCACCAAATAATATACATCATGAACGAATTTTCTTTGTCCACCGACGAATTTCAAGGTACTCGGAACATTGATATTACAAACACCTAAAAAAAGGTTTGTATCAAAACGTGAAAATTCATTCATATATATATATATATATTTACGTCGTTCGGATTTTTTTATTGCGATCTCTTTTCCTCGTAACATTTATAATAGATAATTTTTTTATAATTCAAAAATTCATCGAGATCAATAATAATAATAATAATAATAATAATAATAATAATAATAATAATAATAATAATAATAATAATAATAATAGATATAATAATAATAATAATAATAATAATAATAATAATAGATGTGTTTCTTTTTCACCAATGCTCAAACCTCTAACCGCCATGGAAATTTCCGAAAGCTTCCCCAAAGTAAAACATTGTCATGGACAAGGGAAATTGAGAACCAACGTGGCCACTGCGAAAATGGACCGACGAGCGTTTGCTTTATGTATCACATAAAATCTAAATGAATCTTCAATTGGTTCTATATAGTGTATGGTAAACCAAAAGACCCCTTTTCCGCAGAATCAAGGATCGGCATGCCCTGCGATCTCGTCGTCCGTAGAGGCTGTTTCTCCGTCGGTCACGTCCTCCTCCTCGCTCTCTTCCTCCTCCTCGTCCGATTCCGCCGTTCCATTCTTCTTGGCATACCGTTCGCAGTACTCTGCCAAAAGAGAATCAAGACTCTATATGTTTTCAGAAATCGCCTTTGCAACAAATAAGAAACCGAGGATAGGTTTCTGATGCGTTTAGACGACCGTTCTAAGAGCAAACATAAGCAAGCGATAGAGGGGACAGGAAAACATACCTCGTACTTTCTGATCATATTGCGTTCTGTCTCTCATCATAAGCGAGGCTGCATCTCCATTGAGTGGATCGGACGGGTTTGGATAGAGCAAGAGTTGCGGAAGAAAAACCTCGAAAATGTTTAATAGATCTGCAGAAGCAAGAAGAACAAAAAATGTGTCTGCTTAATCGAATTGTAGACGGATTTCGTATACGAGTATATATATATATATATATATATATATATGTAGTGTTTGAGAGGCTCACCAAACATGGGACTCCAAGATTGATTGATTACATCCAAGCACACCGAGCCAGAACTGAAATTTATAAAATAAAATAAAAAAAAGCACGAACCACAAATATTCGTACATTCTAGAGAAATTCAAGGAGGAGGAGATGCTCACAGTTCATCCACATTTGGGTGGAATATCTTGTTAACAAACCCAATGGAAGGAGATTTGTACGGGTAAGCATCTGGGAGCTCGACGTGAATTTTCCAAACCCCTCCCTCATAAAGACCTGTAATCACCAAACAGTTCATCTTACTTCACGAATTCAAGGGACATTTTCATGATCCGGAGTTAATTTAGAAAAAGGCAATACTTTCTTTCGGACCGTGGAACTCCACATTGAACTCATTCAGGCAATCGTTGATCGTTTCAACGCTGTAATCGCTCATCATCCTGGATGTATAAGAAGGGGGAAAAACACGACAAGTTCAACATTACCGACACCAACAATCACACCTAATAAAAACTACGAAACTCTGTATCACTAGGGCCAGTGTTCCAGTGAAGTAAAAGGATCAATTCTCGAATCTAGGTAGTTTCCAAGAATACGAAAACTTACAACTTCATGACATCCATTTCTCTCCTTTTGCTGGGAGAAGACATCTTTGATCTCCACGAGAATGGAAAACTTAACCGATATAGTTCTGTCAAATCATAGACATCCAAGTGCAGATATCAGAAAATAGCTTAAATCCAAACCACATTGGCAGAAACAGTGGACTGGCAGATGGGGGTAGAAAAGATGAACAAGTGGACTGAGCAAGAGCTACAAATGATTTAAAGAAGAACCGATAGTTCCGACAAGAAAACGACATAACACCACGGAAAACTTGGAGATCATAGTCAGAAAATTTCCACCATATCTAAAGCACAATTTGTTTTTCCTCGGAGGTAGAAAAAGTAAGGGCAAACACTGATGAAGAACACACAAGGGGGGTAAATCCCGACCCAACCCACAAAGGAGCGGAAGGAATTTAGTCTGCAATAGAGACACCAAACCCGCCAATGGGTTGAAATTACGCAATCTGACGAAATGGAATCTCACTATCCTCGATGTTATTCCCGTCAAATCATGGTGACCCAGCAGAAAATTTTGATACGGAAGACGCTGGTCAATTTCGCAGGAGTATCTAATTTCACAGACTGAGGATAATCTACGACCTGGCCATATAAGCTTAAGACAAAAACCGCAGAAAGAGAAAAAACGCCCATATCGACAAACGCTGTCTGGCACCGGAGAAAGCGCTAGAAAATACAGATCATGACACAGTATTTGGAGGAATTACCTTGATGGGATCGGAGACAACCAGAGGAAATGTGATCGGAAGGAGCCGGAGAGAGAGGGGAGAGGGTAAAAGTTCTATGCGAAGGTCGACAGATTCATATGCACGTGTTGTCATGCAAATTCGGAAACGTGGAGACAAGCAGAAATGTACGAATGGTGAGATTTTCGTCGACGATAAGTAAAGGGTTCTTCCTTTTTTTATATATATATAAAAAAAAGTAGAGTTTTAATTTCGATGTAATCCATATATAATCAAACCTCAAAGATACAAAATTCAAATTCAAATCCGATATTATATTTGCGTTCTCTCTGTTTTGCTTACACTAGCAGCAATCACAAAAGTAGGATCCAACGTCTTTTAAAAAGGCCAACTTATCCATAAACAAAAAAGTTGTTCTTTTAATTTTTTTTTATAAAAAATCCATATAACTTCTCCAATTATTTAGATACAAAACATTTTAGCTGTAATTAGAGATAATCGTCACTAACCATTATTAATTTCGATTTCAACTACACAACGAACACAAAAGAAGGGCCACAGCATCCTTCGCCAACAAAATCACAGAGCGGCGTTTTCCTCTTTGATTCCTTTCACGGAGTCGCACTCGAATTATTTGGACATTTTTAGTAAGGTTGTTTTATTTTTGGAAGCCATAATTACTACAAGAATAAGAGCTTGGGGCACAAACAAAAAAGAAAACATTTACAAAAGTCTCCACCCACCACCACATACACATTAACCTCCACTCCACCCAAAGGTGCTTCAAGATAAAACCAGACCCACCAAGATTTTATCAATGCCACAAACCTGAAAACCCTTGTCCGAAGAACTTGACAGTGGAAAATGAGCGTTTTTTTTCCCCGATTGAGCAATTCTACTGCCCGCCTCTTCATTGTCGATGCATAAAAGAAGAAGAGTTTGGATGCTTCTATGGGGTCTGATTTTGAACGGTAATGTTAATGCAACTAAAAAAAGCACACCGATCTCAGAAGATGGGCAAACACCAGCAGGAGCACCATATGCCTTTTTTCCCCCCTAACTGTTAATAAGAGGATATAGAAAGACGGAAAAAAAAAGGAGATATCTACAAAGGGGGCAAAACTGATCACAGTGTAAATTTTATGGGGAAAAAAAGCACCCTGGAAACATCTCTCCCCCCCTCCCCCCCCCAAAAAAAAAAACAGAGTCTTTCACCAATAAAGTTGACAGAGGTTGAGAATTCAGAGATACTATACATTAACGAGCAAGCATCAAAATAACTCACCGCCCTTTCTCCTCTGTGGCTCAGGATGTCAGACGAAGGAGAGTTTCCCCACCCCTTATGAACTGGAAGAACAATGATGTAGAGTCAGCGAGAAGAGATTAGATGTCATGTCAGACAGAAACAGAACGCTCTGCCAGAGAACTCACCGGGTTTTACATCAATGCCATGAAGGTTGCTGCTTATATCCATCCCATCCTCCCTCGGGCTCCTTCCTCTTTACAACGCCACCGGGCATCTGAAATATCCTTGCTTGCTCCTCCATGCGGGTCTGCGTACTGGAAGCCGACAATGGCCTTGAGGGTGCACGGGAAGATGTTTCGCTTCTTCCTTCGGCATCTGGGACTGCAGGGCCAGTGTTTAGGTCTAGCTCCTGCCTCAACCATTTTCTGCTGGCACCGCCACTGTTATTGCCATCCGTGAGGTTGACAACATAAGGCCGTGGATAATTGGAGGGGACTGCAATGGCTGGACCCAACAGTTGAGAGTTAGCGGGAGGGAAAGTAAGCCGTGGTCCAGCAGATGAAGATTCCAGATAGGTAGCAGAACCGCCAGAGAAAGTAGCCGATGATAGGGGGAAACCGGCACCAAAGGAGAAGACTGGATACTGAAACGGAGAAGTAGACTGGAAGGGAACAGCTGGAGAAGAAGTCAAGACTGGCCCTCTATAAAGATCGGGACTAAAGGAGGATGAAGCAGTAGTTGAACCCAGCAATCTCGATGGCCCACTGCTTGCAACCATTGGGAAAGGCAGATCTCTATCAGGCATAACCGTGGGGGGAACAGTCGCTGAGTAACTGGCAGCGGCAAACCACGACGACAAGTTCCCCATATTGGCACCATTAACTTGCATACCGGGAAGGGATGGTTGCGAAGGCAAACTGCTTCTAGCGGCATGCTGACCGAATAAGATTGATGGTTCAAGATTTACATCCCCAATCATATGTCCATTATTCAGATCGAAGTCCCTCCGTCCGCCTGCTTCATCTGTCATACGACCACTTGATACTTGTTTGGACGGCTGAAATGTGGAATCCAACTTATGACTGTTGGTAGTGTAATTTCCTAAATCTGTGGTTTCATCAACCCTGTTCAAATCAAGATCGAGCCCACCAGCAGAGCGAGTGGAGGCAGAACCCATCTTCAGATCATGTAACGAATTATTTGTAATATCACATACTGAAGTCTGACCCGAAGTTCGGGAGGTGAAATCTTCGAGGACTCTCTCATCTGGAATGTTCAAATCGATATCAAGTGGAGGCCGACTCTGTCGTCGAGTATTAACATCCACCTGAGCAGCATTATTTGTAGCAAGAGGTCGCTCGAGAGAATTCCTCGGTTCAGCTGGGCGAAATGCACTTGTAGCTGCAGAACCCTTCCAACCATGCACACCTTTATTCCTCAACAGGTCTTCAGGTGGAACAAAGGGCCCCTTTGCAGCGGTGGCTACTGTTATTGAAGCAGGAATCGGCAAAGGAAATTGAACTGGTGTTGATATTCCTGCTCCTGTTAAGTTACCAAGATCTCCATTCCTCCCATCATCTCCACTGAAGCCTTCATTTAGATCAAACTCAACTTTTGTATCTCTGTCTGCAGCAGAAGAAGAAGAAGCGTCTCCAGCCAGAGAAGTAGACTCGTCTGCCACTTCTGCCACAGCAATGTTCGATCTAGATTCCCTCCCTTTTGCACACTGTTTTCCTCTGTCCTTAACTGTCAATGAGGAGGATACTGTCGGAGAGTGTACACCAGATTGCTGCTCATTATCTTCATTACCGTCCAAATTCTCCCCTACATGCTCAACTTTATAGTTCGTCAAATATGAAACTAAACCAGCCCCTACTTGGTTCCCACTAGAAGAAGACTCTCCTTCTATTTTCTGCCCCTTTATAGCATCATGATGACTGCCTGTCTCCATTTCATCTGCTTTCTTAGCTTTAAGCTCATCAACATTTGCAGAAACAAGACACTTGCCAGAACCAAGCCGCAAAGAGGAGTGTTCAGTTCCTCTTACTAGTTCGGAACTTGATTTTCTGATTGGCGGCTTCGGCTCATCCTGAGTACTTTTGTCGCTTTCTGAAAATGGCTGGGAGTATGGAACTTCACCCCCTACTGTAACACCTGAGTCGCCAACTCTAATATCGGCTGACAACTTCTGCTTCATATCAGAAGCGTCGTCAGCTAGGACGCCATCATCTTTTATCTCATTGGATTCTTTTATCATATCACCATCCACATGCTTATTAATGTCATTTGCACAGGACATGGCAGACGATGTTTTTTCTGCATCTCTGGACCATCCAATGCTCTCTAAGCATTGATTTACAGGTTGCTTCAGTGGGGAAGAATCCAATTTCCTGTCCGTAACAGATATAGGGTTAAAGTCGGCCTTAGTGTCAGCCTCTTTCGGACAAGCATTACCACTAACAAAGTCCTGCTTTTCATTTTCAAATTTTGCCCCATCACTGGGAAGAGTCTGAGCAAGACCATCAGAGGACAAATTCTGCTTTGAATCATTTCCCTCACATGAGTTCTCATTTGTCTGAGATGAACCATTTGGCGAAATCATATCAGACTTAGAAATCTCACCAGTTGCAACGCTAGCAAGAAGATTCATTCCAATGTCATCTCCAGCTGCCACAGGAGTATTAGCATCGGAGTACTGCACACAACTTTCAATTAATGCATTTATCGAGCTAAAAGGATTCTCATGTGATTTCTCTGGCTTCAGCTCATTCATACATTGTGGCAAACTTGCTTTCGGGACATCCGGAACACTTGCTTTTGGGACTTCAGCCATTTTCTTAGCGTCATCTACTGTCCAACATCTCTCTTCACTTGGAATAGATGTAGAACCTCCACCCTCATCAGAACCAGGAAGTTCAATTTTGGCATCATTGCTTTGCCATGATTCATCATGCACATCAGAGCTAATAATTGCTTTATGAGTACAAGTCTTTTCTTCCTTCAGGTTCTGATCAACTTGATCATTCTTCGCACAAATCACAGGAGAAGAAGTTCTGCTATTCACCACTGCAGTGTCTTCAATGGTTGCCGTAGCAGTGGTTTCGGCAGGACTGTAGCCTTGATTTGGTATCTTGACAATCAATTTATGAGCATTACCTTCAGTTGCCTGTACTTCATGGGTCTTTTCACATGTTGAATCAGACTGTGATACTTTCTCTGAAGTTGAGTTATTCTTTGACAGAGAAGAATTTCTAACCGAACCAGTTTCCCTATGACCCACTGATGAGGCAGACCCCTGAAGACCATTGACTGATCTCCGGTGTCGAGAAGAACCACCTGAGCTCTTATTCACGCTCAGTGATCCAGTGGTGGGGCATCTCGGATCATCCTTCACTGATACACCCCCTGCTTTAGCATGGTCACTCGAACAGGACTGACTATTATTGTGAGATGGACTGGAGCTACTGCTTTTCTCATCCCTTACAGACGTCGGAGGAACATCAGATCCAGAAACACCACCAGAATTTTTCTGTTGTCCTTCTTTCATGTTCATACAACCTGATGAGGGAGATAGTGCTGATCTTGTAGAGCCAGGGGATGGAGACGCAGATTTTACATTATTTTCTCCCTGGACCAGCCTAATTGAAGACGATTTAGAAGAATGAGGGTGTGATACTGAAGTCTTTGGGCTTCCATGAGAAGGTTCAGCCAGACGCCTTCCAGGCCATGAAACGCCCTGCCCAGAGCTTGACTTGGCATCCATTTCTGCTTCAACACGCTTTTTCCACGTGTCAACCAAACTCCTCGCTTTTCTCTGAATCTCAACATTCTTATGCGATCTCAAATGATTAACAGATTTTCCAATATTGCACGTTTGAAGAGCGTGGAGATTAACAGGCAACTTATCCAGAGCACGTAATAATACCAATAGAAACTCCTCAGTTGATCTATCACCATCTTTGGGGCTATTACTGTCACCCACCTTCCCTTTATGCACTTCCTGAAGCCATTCATCTAACACAGGCAGTCCTCTCAGCTGGACGAATCTGCTAAGACAATCAAACTTATCTGTTGCAGCCACTACCCCAGCAAGCATCAATCGGCTTGCCAAATCTATTTTCCTCCCACTCCTCTCAGGCAGCATGAGCTGGACTAACTTCTCCACCCCATCTGAATCCACGAGGCCCCCCTTTTCTGTAATCTTTACAATCTCAGATCTTAATGTACTCTCCAATTTACTATAAACAGAATCAGCATCTTCAACCCTCGCAGCACGTTCCCGTTTTACAGGTTCAAAACCTTGATCAGCACGTTCCCTTTTCTTTCCCTTCGCCTGGGAAGGAAAGGAAGAGCCAGTATTCTGTACACTATCAGAACTTGCCTTCAACTGTGATGTTGATGTTGGACCATTCATTGTTTTTGGTGAGCGTCCACCTTGCTGTACTGTTGCATGCATTTCGAAACGTGTCTTACACAATAGCTGATCTACTTCTTCCTGATGTTCCTACAAAGAAAAAGTTATCGTCAAAGGCAAAGCAAAAAAATGTACTGAAAATGGTATCCATTTGATAGAGCATGTATGAACTCACATCAATATAGTCTTGTTCTGTCAGCCACCATAAACACTTGTGTGTGATATCATAAACACGCCAGCACACAAACGAGCAAATCCCAGATGGCAATTCAACGCCTTTAGGAAGGAAAGTAACTTTACACAGGTGAAGTAAGGATGCAGCAGGA